TGTATTTATGTCCAGACTTGTCTAGGAAAAGTCTCAATCTATTGGAAGTTGGATAGATTTTCCCATTTATCAATGCTTCCGGCTGGTTTAAACGTAACTATTTTTCTATTCACCATCACGAGGATTTCACTATCTATCTCCGCTTCATCTAACCTAACCTATATTTGTCGTAAAAGGTGACTAAAATGCATTGGGCAACATCCTGCACCGTTTTGAAATATAACTGTTACTAAATGGATTTTTACTTGCAATACCCCAACAGATAAAAATTTGTTGCTTCGAGATCTAAGTGATCGTAATCTTAATTGGTCTTGCTACTGGGTACATAAACAATTAGATTTTTTGTCTTCGCGTTTCATGCAATGTAGAGTTCCCATTTTAAACTGCGTGCTGTGACCCAAAGAACAGCAAAGGTGTTACTAAAAAAGAAGTTATATGAAAATATATAACTTGGCACCGGAGGAATTCTTTTTCCAATGTGCTTATTTATCTTGACACATATGTCGAAAATACTGTAGTGTTAAGTTTTCATGGCAGGTAAACACGTAAACTAACTCTAGACTCTGGCCCAGAACAAAGTCCAGATCAAAAATCGTCGTCAAAGGCTTCATGCTTTTGAGCAGATCCAACATTCTGTCTCTTACAGATAAAATGGTAGACGGTGAGAGAAATTTTTATTGGGTCAGTATGACTGTATTTTTGACAGTGTTCTATTATTACGGCAACTGTATTGCACACAATAATATAAAAAAATCTTTTATAACTTAATTTTGCTAAAAAGTTATAATTTCTTTTATATGTGAGATTTTCGCAGCGGTTTTAGGAGTAATAATAAAAACAGATTATTGTCAAGTTACATCTTTAAACTTATTCTTGAATAAAAAATTAAATAACAAAAAGTATGAACCTCAAAAATTACTCTACAATTTTATATAAAATTAATACTTAAGAAAATAATTAGTTATTGCTATTTGAATAGTTGTGTAATCAATCGTCTTATTTACTGTTGAACTGCCTTTGATTCAAAGTACAGAGCGAGTGAATAAATTTGTTCTTTAATGTTAATGGTATTAAAGTGAGTTACTAAGTGTATTTAGTATTAATTTTTAATAAGAAACTAATGGCTCTTGAGTTGCCTACTATTCACAAGGAGCAATACACTTGAACGCACATTTATGTTTGATAATCGCAGTAATTTTTTTATTTAATTAAGTATTATGTTAATTTTCTTGTTTTTAGTTTCAATTAATTTATTATAGCAAATAGTTTTTTAAATTACATTAACTAACAAGTTTGTTATGTCACTTATGTAGACAGCACTTTGTATTGAATACAGTTATATACATTTTGTATTTACTATTTAATATTTATGATATTAATCGGTTTGTGCCTCTTCAACGTCTCCAAGTTTCTTAATTTTACAAGTTCAAAAATTTTGCCATTGATGTGGATTGCAACTATATTTGCGATTTCGAGACGTTTTTTATTTCTTCTTCGCCTGATGGAATTTCGTGGTCTCATTGTATACAGGTAGACCTACTGTACCAAGGAACTTTAAACAGATCTCTAAGAATTTTGTTTTAAAACGTTGTATTATATTTTAGTGAAGCATCCAGTTTCCAGTGAAGCATCTTAGTAAGCTACTGGTGTGAGAAGTTGATTAGTAGATTGCAATTGGAAAAGGTCTGATAAATCAAATCATAAACGTAAAGAAATTAGTTTTAGTATGCACTTGAAAGATGTGTTACGGGGCAATTAGTGGCGAATACTTTTGTTAATCAATGAATCTTGCTTTTTTTAATTATGTTTATTTGATCATTTTGTTAAATTAAGTTAATTGATAATTATAAAATCATCAATATTATATATATATAACAATATAAATATTTATAATACAATAATAATTAAATATAATAATATAGAATATATAGGTATAAATAATAATAAGAAATAAGAAAGAACAGGGTATTAGCTCCCATTTGAGCAGAGCACCGCGACCATAATTGATCTTTTGTGCTACAACAGACCCTAACTGAACAAAAGAAATTCCGCCTTTCGAATGAAGGCCAGAATGTCGGTTGTTGAGGACCTCCTAATGTCGGAATATATAGGTATAATAAATATACAAATATATAAATATGATACAAGTTTATATATTCATGCATTAAATGTAATAAATTAATATCCAATTCATATAAAATGGCAATCTGAAGTGGAAATATAGTATTTACAAAGTGAATTATTTCTGAAGAAATTACAATTTATATTATTTAATCTTTTAGAAGTCCTATTATTAATTGAAATCTAAGCTAAATTTAAAACTTGATATCTTTTTAATTATGATAGCACAATATTATTATTTTATTATTAATAATAAAATAATAATTATTATGAGATCATAAAATTTTTTATATATTTATTGCTCAATAATTTCTAAGGGAAAACACGAGACATTTAAAAAAAATGTCCTTCGACGTAATAAAAAAACAGTAAAAGGATTTATTCACCTACATAAAACTTAGGACTGTTTTCGTATGTATAAAACATATATATGTATATATAATTTATTATAAACATATAATACATGCAAAGGCATGTCTTAAAGTGAAATACTTTCTTGACGTATAAAGTGTAATTTTTATTTCACTTTTGATAAATACAAAAGTGCACTGACTTCTGGTAACAAAAAAAAAGTCGACACTTTTTTTTGGAAGTAACTTTTACAATTTAAGTAAGCATTTTCATTTCGTTATAAACATAAAAATAAAATATTTTTTAATACTACATGAAATATTACAACCAATAAATACGTTGTGTAGGTTTATATATACAACAATACAAGAGTGAAAGTGAGCTGCGGGAATACAATAATTGTATTACGACTCATACCAGTGGAATGAAAGTATCCCGTGGTACTCATATTCCAAGTCATTCGCTTTTAAGATTTTATTCACTCTACTTGGCAAATACCAAAATGACTCGTTGTCGCGCCGTCTAACAGTAAAAAAATCCTTAAAATACTATTACGGCGCCATAATATTTCCAACATGTCGGAAAATGGCGTGTTGCCATTATTATTTGACGAAGTGTGAATCTGGTGTGGCGCCTCCTCTGTGTTCTCCTTTAATTTTGTTTATGCCCAGGCGAAATAAAGGAAAAAATTTCTTATTTAATGTTGAAAATATTACGCAGTTGTGTATAAAATTTGTCATTTTTCAACATGCGATTAATTGTAATATTCTCCTTCATTTTAATTTTATTTATTTATTGGTATTATTAAAATTTTTTTCCTTTTGTGCAAGTTTATTTTCGCAGTAGTAAATAATATTTATTATATTTTTGCTCTGAGAAAAACGCCCATGTGTGCTTGGTTGGTTGGATGGTGAAACCTATCCAAAGGCCTGTCAGCAATGTTGATGTGATAAAAATTTTGTTGCATAGTCAATAAAGCTAAAAAATCACTTAATAAATCATACTCATGCAAGTGTGCACAATATGTAGCTGAAATCTGGATTTTCGAGAGAAATTTTTCTACATTGAATTTATGGGAATTCCTGGAAGTTAAATGGAAATTAATCTTTTGAAAATTGATTCCAAATTATTGTTATTGTATTATTATTTTCAAAAGGGGTGAAAGGTAGAGTTACAAATCCAAAGAAATGCTTAATTAAGTCAATACATAGACTGACTACACAGATGTTCTGTGGTATCATCATATATCCATTATAAGTGGTTTTTGTAAACATCAATTAGTTCAATTATAGGTATATAATTTATTGGACTGCAAGTACTAGAAATTAAAACATGTTAAAAATAGAACAGTGAGCTCGCCAATGTACATGTAATTTGCTTTATTCAAATTTAAAGTTTGATAAATTTGTTGTTGTTTAGTTAAACAAAACCAGTGGTGGATCGATATTTTCCAGCTATATTCCTTTCTGGAAATGTTGAACTACATTGTGTTTATTGAAATTGACGATTGACTCCGGGGCGTAGATTCGGTTGCTTCTGGAACCCGCTGTAAATTCGCTTCAATTAAAATCCCATCCATTTAAATTTAACTTGTTTAATCTTAACTTCTCATAATACATGTGTACGTATTTGTAACTCTTTTTGTGTTATATATTTAATGTATTATTACAACAATAACATGGATATTTATTCAAAGGACATAAAATTCATAGCAATTATCATTTCTTTTTTAAATAGTATCAATAATAGTATCTAATATTGTAAAGTAACTGAAAATGTTTTACATTAGTAGCAACATTTCTTCTCTATGAATCGAAAACAGAAGTACAGAAAACATTAAAAAGCACTGTCTATTAATTTCTTGATTAGTATTATCTTCTTCTATTATCCTCTTTTCCTAGTGAATTATAGGGTAACATTCTTATTAATAAGTTTATGGGATGGAAACAAAGTCAATACATTTCGATTCAAACTACCGTTGTTCTATGTGAATATCACATCTTAGTATTGATATCTTACGAGTATGGCGAGGTCTACAACATCGTAAAGTATTTACTTAGGAAACAGTTTTGTGATTTGAGCAACTTTCTCGTGCAGTGTATAGTCTATCCGTAGGCATTTCCTTTTCTTAATTTCGATTTAAACAGTTTTATATACGGTTAATAATGTTCAATATGTTTGTAACAAATGGTTAGATAATATAGATAATATAGATATTATAGATAATATAGATAATATAGATATTAGATAAATGGTTAATATTTTTTTATTAACCGATTAAGTAATAATGAATTAGAAGACACATATATATAAATTGAAATGAATATTTATTGAAAATTTTTGCATTTTGAGAAATAATCTATTTCGATATCTTAAGTAAGTTCCAATTAAAATTAGTTAAATTAATTTAAAGTAAAAGATTATTTAAAACTTTTATTAAATATAAATTAGTGAAATATTCTGTTCATAACAAATATGCTCGACAAGAAATTTATTATTTTATTAAATTAATTTCAAAAATTTTTGAAATTGCATATTATATATTTTTCACAAAAATTTTAATAGAAAAAATTTATAAGTACGGCATTAATACTTTTTGGTCATTATTTACAAACGTATAATAATTACACACACACTTATAAAAATATTAATTTCAATTCTTGTTACGTGGTGTAAATTTCATCCAGAATAGCTCCTTAGGTTTTAGTTGAAATCCGCGTATAGAGTTAAACATATCTGTACTAGTTTTTTCATTTGGTTCAATTTTAAAATGCAAGAGCAAATGATATATCATTGCTTTGGCTTCCATTAAAGCAAGACGATTACCTTCAAAAAGAAAAATCTTAAATTATAATCCTTTAACTTTTAACAAAATGTAAATTCTCTTACCAATACAACTTCTAGGTCCTAAACCGAAAGGTACGTAAGCTAAATGATTAATATTTTTTTTGTTTGCATCAGAAAAACGTAAAGGATCAAATTTTTCAGGTTCTGGGAAATGTTCGGGATCATAATGCAAGCCAACAATAGGTATAAATATAAGATCATTTTTTTTAAGTTTGAGTACCAATTTTCCATCATTGTCAGTTAGATTGTAATCATTTGCGCACACACGATCTGTAGCTAAAGCAGGTGGCCATTTCCGCAAAGATTCTGATACTACCATATCCATATATCTCATATTCATTAGAGCATCATAATACAATGGTGACCCATTGAGATCTTGTTCTGTAGCTAAAATTTCCTCGTATAGAGTTTCTTGTACATCCGGATTCATCAACAATTCATAACAAGTGAAGCAAAGACAAGTGGAAACTGTCTCAAATCCAGCCAGAAAAAATAATAAACATTGTGCCAAAAGATCCTCATCATTAAATTCAGCGTGATCGGCAATTCTTTGTTGTTTCGAGGCATCAAATTGTTTTTTTGCTTCCGTAAGAAGATGTATCATGTCAGGACGTATGATATTATTTTTCTTACGATATTCAATTGCATCAAAAACTAAACTTCGGAAATAATTTAACAATGTTTCATTTAATAATTTTATGTGTAGTAACTGTAATTAATGTTTAATTCATGTTTTCATTATTTATATATTGTATTGTATTGAAATTTACTTACTCTTGTTATGGTTGGTACAACTTTAATTAAAAACGCTTTAACCATTATTAGTCCCACGGAACGTGTAAACGTTCTACCAACTTCATAGAATTCATTTGTCTTGTTCACAAATGAATTGACTTTTATGCCAAATGCTGCAGATGCAATGACGTCATTGGAATACCTTGTAAAATAGTCTTTCATTTCTATGTCAAGTTCATTAATCCCTGCTGCTTTCAATTCGCTTTGCAGAAACGAAACTCCTTCAATACTGCATTCATTGATAAGTTCGAACATTTGTCGCATTTTACTACCAGTAAAAGTTGGGGTTAGCGTTGTACGCATTTCCTTCCATTTTTGATTTTGCAATTTCACTAAACTTTTGGCCAAAATATTGTCCCTGACTTCATTAAAAGTCGCTTTATGGTTGGCAAAATTGTCGAAATCCTTTATACCTATCTTTTTAATCAATTCGATGTCAGATACGAAAATGACAGGATCGCGAAAATTATATGCACCATACACTTTGCTGTAAAATATATATAAATGTAATATTAGTACTAAAAAATAGCAAAAATTTAAAATATCAAGAAAGTGGAAAACAGTTTATTCAAAAGGACTTCATTTTAGATATAAAAATAATTTTTAAACTGGTAGTTAAATGTGGTAACCATACTGTTTTGAGATTACTCACTTCTTATTCTAAAATAATGTCATCTATAATGAAAGTTTAATAGGGTTTTGATTCTTAAACTGGCAATATATAACCATTTTCACAGCTGAAAGCTGATTTACACTTTAACATAGATAGACTTTGTTGTGGTGCAGATCATCAGTGGAGAGTGCCCTAAATCCACAATTATTGACTTTTGCTTAATCAAAGTCATTAATGTTTGCTCAGTTGAATATATCGAAAACAATTATGCAATAATTACTCCAAAAATGACCAATAAGTCAAACCCTATAAGTTTCAGAAGTGCAAGATATTACCGGTATCCAAAGAATCACTACAAAGCGTTTGCACAAACACACACTATTACCGTTCTCGTCTACCCTTATGAGCGGAATATCCTAACAATGTAAATAATATGAAACGACTGAGTAGTGATACGATAATTTAGACATTTTATTGGCGATAAGAGGTCACGCGCCACCATTTGTAAAGATTGGGAGATCCACAGTTGTTCTCTATGTACATTTTTAAACTGTGATGTCAAGGAGGAAACTCTAAAACTGTGGGGCAAGTAAAAATTTCGGTGGGAGAGAATGGAGATTTTTAAACGAAGTACTACACACTATGTATCCATTGAAGTAACCATTTAATTTTTTGTATTAATTTGTTTCTTTTAATCTTCAAAGACTAACTCTTGGAAGATATATGTAAAGATATGTATATGAAATGATATACTTACATATATGTATATAATTCTGTAGTCTATTAGCGGTACAATGAATCATTGAATTGCGTGTTATTGTATGATAATAAATACAAATTTACGGAGCAACGAGTTGTATTGAAAAATGTTCCCGCCATAAACAGAAAACTCTGCTGTATATATTTAAAAAGATAAGTTAAAAATTAATTTAATTATATGCTTTTAACAAATATAAATGTAAGAATGCATTGAAATATGAAAAAGTGTTTACTACATTAAACATTCTCTAATTTAGTTTATATTGTTACCTTCACGTACTCTTCTGGATTTTCTCAACTCTTTTAGGATTATATCAAGTTAATTAAGATCTTTCTTTACCATTGAAACAATTTTTCACTATTGAAATGTAGTTTTAATAATAAGTTAAAAGATACCACCTTAAATTCTTCAAATAAGTACAATCCATTTTTTTTTTGCAAAAAGTATCGACTAAAATGAGAATTTTGTTTATTTTTATTTTTGTTGAATTTCTACGTTTTATAATGTTTACGCAGTGATTAAAGTTGAATTGAGAAAATTGTGATAGTAAGTAAAAAACGAGCACTTGCAAATGCTAGCAATAATTATGAGTAACTCTCTTAATAGCGAGAACACTCCATTCAATTTTCATACTCAGCAAGTCAACAATTTTATCTCTTCAACCGGTTCTTGATATCTTGCAATGAGCAAAGTAAACAATAACAATTCCCACACATAATAGTGTTTGGAAAGAATTATTGATGCTGAACTCACCTTTTACTCCTCCTAATGGAACGCGATATATAAAGACAAAGAATAAACAAAAATAAATAAATAAACTGTTTACGTTTTTAGTGCAAATGAGAAATAAAAATAAAATAAAAAACGGAATAAAAAAAAAAGCTTTGAAAATTTGAAATGTACTACTAATGTATATATAAAACAAAGTCGGGGAATTCATCTGATTCCGTAATTGATATAAATTATACATTTAAATCAGTCAATAGAAAGAAAAATATTTAATGTAAAAATGCATGTAGTGTAATAGTTCTTTCTTTCAGTATACTCCAATAAAATGAATGATTTACAAATGTGTCGGTAATATTACAGAAATTTACCGTTTTAGAATTGTCTTTAAATGTAAAACAATAAAAATTAAACACTTGCAATTGAACTAAATCTTTGCAAAAAATATTACATTATATATATGGACATGTAGGTAAGTACTTTAGTTTATAGGTTATGTTCTCGGCCTAAATGTGTGACAAAGGTATTATTGTTAAATATTCTAATAAACGTTTTTAGTTTTGTTTCTTTATTTAAAAATCACATATAATTATTTTTAAATACAGCATATATTATTAACAGAGAATAAAACTGTTGTTACGTAGAGATTATGTTATTAATGGTATGACATATGTGCCTCGTAATATTAGATTTTAAAGTCAAATGTAAAGTCAATGTTATTTCAATAAATTTAGAATTGCTGATTACGAATCCGGCAACCGGTTCGATTTACTAAACATAGATTTTATCATATAACACTATCATTCGTCAAAGGTTAATCTCTGAGAAAGATTGGGAGAGGTGGATAATGTATGACAATAATATATATATATAATGTTATAAGAGTTACAAGAGTGTTTCGGAAAGACAAATTCAAAATATGTCATTGTCATGTTGCATATCTACGAAACATATATTGATATATATATATGTATATATATATAAATATATCACTCACGAATTTATTAAAAAAATTCTGTAAGAGATATTCGGTTCCAGAGAAGAACCGTTGTTCTATCAACAGGGATTAACTTAGTATATGTATAGTATGTAATAAAAAACACATCCTAAAATTTGTCAATTCACAGCAATCATGTTAGGTTCTATATGTGATAAAAATCAAGGAAATCCGTTCCCAACAGTCACTTCGGGACTATAAAGTCATAAATGCAAAACTGAAGGGATGAAACTGATTTGTAAAAGATGTGATTTTGAAGATAGCGTACTGTAGTGGCATTAAAATATTTAATTAGTTTTATATCTGGAAAGTTTATCCAAATAGGTTAAGTCAAACATTATTTTTGAGTAATTTTAAATTTTTACTAATAGTTTTTCTAATGTATATTTGTTAGTTTTAGTTATGTTAGTTACAGTATTGTTTTTTTTTTTGTAAAAATTTGGGGTTATTTTTGTAAAACCCTTATAAATCTAAATATAAGTTATAGTTCATTGCTTATAAATCAATACCTTGTTATCTTTTGAATTTTTTTTTTATAAACGGATTATCCAACTGTTCGACACTATTTGCCTGATTGCATAAAGGACATTCATGCACACCTATTTATGAATCATTACTATTCCACATTTTATAAAATAAAAGAAAGAGACAAGATTTGTCAATGTTATATTCTTAACATAAACCTTTTTAAGTATTTGCTTTAGCTTGTGTTCTTATTTATATTTCTGGAACCAAAAGCTAGGCAAAAAAGTTGTCAATTGGACATAAATAGTTAACTATATGACTGAGGGCCTGTACAAAATAACTAGAGGTTATATTTTTACCAGTGCTTACAGCTGTTCCAGCATTTACTTTTATTTGAGCAATCACTTCTTTAATCATTACTTAATATCTTATTTGGTGTTCACTAAAAATTTAAGTACTGTTTCATCTGATATCGGAAGGTCATAGTTATCTGCATGAAGAGATTGAATTTCGGAAAAAGTAAATCTAATTGTCTTTAGAAATTTTTGAAACAAACCATACATTCTCTTTTATTCTCTTTTATATATTAACACAGTGATCATATTGAGTTTTGTGACAAGACATAGATAGCAAACACTTTTAAGGTTCCCTTTAAAATTTTTAATAAATAGGAAATTACACATAGATGCCGCATTTTTAATAATAACACCATTGATGTCTATTGTACTTGGCTTCAGTAACACCTTGACTGACTAAATTTTTATTAAAAAATGTTTATATCAAAATTTTTATTCCAACACTAATTAAATTAATTTCCTATCAATTTCAGTAATTATTTAAAATAACGATAATTTTCCTTCAGGAATGTGATTTATTTTCATTAATATATTTCATAAAACAAGGTATGTTTTCTATTTATTTTATTTTGATATTTATGTTTAGGTTTTAATTATTTATTATACAATACCTGTACATTTTAATTAATTAATAAATATTAACACTTGTTATCTGCGTTATCTACTATTAAATATTTAATAGAATTAAAAAAATATTCAAAAATATATATCAAAAGTCAAAAATTTTTACAGTAAGGTTAGTATCTTTTTTTTGCAGTGTTTGTGGTTTTTTGGGTAATTTGTTTCAGTAAATGAATTGATTTAATTATCAAAATGATAACAAATATTGATAAAATGCTTAACGTATTTATATTCAAAGCCTTGAATATTAGGCAAATAGTTTCATCAGTAATACATGAAATTTGTATATTACAACACTCTTTATAAAAACTGACCTTGTTAAGGCATAAACAATTGAATTTACGATTCTTTTTTATTTAGAAATACCGTAATAATACCATAAATAACATTAAAGAATTCGAAACAATTTCTTATTTTGAAGTAAAAATAAAATTTGTTTACATTAAAATTCTAGTTGTGTAAGCAAACTTACTTATGTTTATACTTTTTGTACTTTTCGACAGAGGCACGCATAAAAGAATCTTTACCCGACAATATACTCCATTTAATATTTCCCAGAAGAGGTGTGGGTTCATCATGAGGTATTCCACGTTCACTTAAAATTTTAAACTTTGCCGTTGACCATTTGTAGCATACATATGCTAAGATAGAACCCAAAAGAAGACCCACAATTAAACCCATTTCGATGCCGTTTAATAAAAATATTTAAGCAAAAAACTTTTCTCACAATTCTGTAGCAACAAAAACTTCTTTACAATTACACATTTATATTCTTGTGACTTTCCGTCCAGAACCGCGCGAACAAAGTTCTCAATCCATACTAAGATCGTCTATGGGAATTTCTGTTTTTTATACAAATTATTTTGTTCAGTTATCAGCTGTGGAAGAAATGAGTCAGTTTGCCGGTAGGAGTAATTTTTATACTGTCATGTAAATTGAACGCTGCTCATTACGTAGCAATAATTAACCTTTTTTCTTTAGATATTTTTGCTTTTCGTCATCTACAAGTTTTTTATTCAACTTTGTTATCAGTAAAATTTTACTATTCTTAATATATTTACTAAACTTTTATCGCAATTGTTGGGCTTTTTCGATTTAATCAATCATTTTCGCTATTAAATTTATATTAATTATGTAGCGCTGCAATAGTAAGTTGATCTACTTAATATATTTTGCTTCCACCATAACAAATAAAAATTATTATATTATAAAAATAATAACTTATTATTTTATTTTTTATTATAATTCATAAAAATCGAGTATAAATAATGTTTGAAACCAAATAAGTTAAAAGATGTTTATTTATGTAGTAAGAGAATAAGCAAAACACTGCTTTGTTTTGGTTCAATAATGCTGACTATTAGGCTACAATTTGATATAATGCATTAATAACTAACATAAAATGAATACGTAAATCAGCACTAAAAATAGAATAGAAATTCTGAATTTATATTTATGAAATACTTTGTCGTAATCATGAAATCATGTTGTTCTACATAGATTCGTAATATATTGCAAAAAGCAAATCATAAGTAAAAAATGCATATCATTAATTTGTGACGGAGACTTAATCATACATTTAGTTTAAAAAATAACAAAAACTTGAAATAAGTTTAAACATAAAAGATCCACAGAAGTTTTTAGTGGTTACCAGTAGTATTTTTACTCTATTTATTTAATTCAAAATTCAAAATTTTACACATTTTGTTTGTAAGAATAATAATACTTATGTATTATTTTAAAACATGCACATTCATTTATTTTTTTTGTTTTGGAGAGGTTTCGTAATGTAGTGAACTACACAACAAAAATTATTTTTATATTATTTTAATTAATTGAATTTTAGGCTGAACATACAGCTATTCCGAGTATTGTCAAATATCCATCATCGGGAGTCTTGGAATTATTTCTTATATTTAATTATTCGTAAATATTTTTTTGATACTGCAAGTACCAGGGATTGAACTCGTACCTTGCCAAATTTGAAGCACAGAATCAAGCAACTGATTCAACTGACTTATATATTTCAATTTGGAATTCTGTTAATTTACCGTAAAAGTAAATTAATTCATTTGCTCTGTGTTAATTTAGAACGAAATCATAAAACAGCAATATTGCATTCATAATTATATTTATATTAATATATATATTATATATTACTATATATATATAGTTCAGTTTTTTGTTTTTGTATTTTGGATTCATATTTTGTATTTATATTTGTATTTGTATTTTGTAGGACAACAAATTTGTATGCAAAATACAAAAACAAAAAACTGAACTAAGTCTTTACCTGCACCAACCTTTCAAAACATTTTCTATGGAATTACAAAAACAACTACCTTGTATGAAAATTGCATTTTATATTTTCATTTTAAAAATATCGCGCAGAATTTGCGCGATACTCTTGATTTTTATATTATATAACGCAAGTATACCAGTTATTTGTGAGTTTTAAAATAAGAAGCAAATTTTAAGAGTTATTTCTGCGCGAAAAAATAAAAGGCATATAATAATAATTATTTTTGATGAATATAATAAAAATCAAATTTAATTATTATTTTTTGATTTTTATTTTAAAACGCTTATACAGTGACTCCATCGCATAATCGGACAAGCATTTGTTCGATATAAATGTGCTCTACACTTTAAAAAAAATGCTAAAAGTATGATTTTTTTTTGCTTTAATTAATACTTAACATACTTATCTATCTAAATTATAAAAAAAAATAAAACATTTCTCATAATATCTATTAATTTAAAGTAAAAAACAGAACCAACACAATTTTTTGGACTCAACGCATAATCGGACAAAGTGAAGCAGCAATGCTAAAAATACTGTTATTTTACAAATATGCACTTCAAAACTACGATAAAAATTCTCACAACAATGTTTCTTATATTAAGATAAATATAAATTATAAATTATATAATTGTAACATAAATTAGTATTAAAATAGCACCAAATGGAAAGTAATCTACTGTCGAAATTAGGCAATTAATAATTAAATTGAATTTCGGAGGTAAAACCGTTAGAGAAATTGCCAATTTAGTTGAAATAAGTCAATCTACTATTCAAGACATTATCAAGAGGTCCCATGATGAGTTTAGGCTGGCCAATAAGATCAGAGCAGCTTAAGGCACTATATTAAATGATCGAGAAAAGCGTTCGATATTGAAAGAAATAAAGAAAAATCCTTTCAAAATCGCAAAAGACCTTAAATTATCATTAAAATCCCGCTCTGGGAAAGATGTATGCTTACATACTATTCGCAATACATTACATAAATTCAATTATCACGGAAGAATTGCCAGAAAGAAGCCGTTTATAAGTATTAAAAATAAAAATAAAAGAATAAAATATGCTAAGGATTATTTACTAAAAACAGAAAGCTTTTGGAATCAAAAAAATTGATGGTAAATCATCTTAAATACATTTTCATTGATAATTTTCATTTCTTTAAAGTTTTGTTCACTGATGAAAGTAAATTTAATCTGAATAGATCTGATGGTAAGATGTTTGTATGGCGTAAACCAAATGCAGAATTCAATCATCACAATACAAAAATCACTATAAAACATGGAGGAGGCTCTGTTATGGTTTGGAGTTGTATGTCGAGTGCGGGAGTAGGTAATTTGCATTTTATAGATAGTAAAATGGACAAATCTGGATACCTCGACATTCTGAAACAGAATGCAAAGCAAAGTACAGAGAAGTTGAGTATTGCAGAAAATTTTAATTTTTATCAGGACAACGATCCCAAGCATACGTCAGGCGTAGCAATGCTTTGGTTGATCCATAACTGCCCCAAACTCATAGACACACCTGCACAGAGCCCAGATCTTAATGTAATTGAGCATCTTTGGGAGGAATTAGCTAGCAGAGTGTACCAAAAAAAATTTAACACAAAAGTACAGTTAAAGGAGGCTTGACTCGAAGCATGGTACTCAATTGAGCCAGAAGTGTGCCAAAAATTGGTAAAAATCAGTTCGAAATCGTCTTCAGGCCGTTCTGGATAACAAAGGATATGCAACAAAATATTAAATGCCACATTTCTGAATTTTTAAAATAACTGTTATTTTCGGTCCCTGCTAATACAAGTAATAGCTATTTAAATATTTTATACATAAATATATGTGGATAAGTCAATCAACCAAACACAAACCTTATCATCACTGATATTTGGTATAAGAGTCTGAGTAAATAAAAGAAACGGTAAACTAACGACGTGTAGAAACACTTGATAGTGCTAGAGTATCGTCTGTTATCTTCTACTTAATGTAAACCTTTTCTACTGGTAATTAATAAGAATTAAGTAGGTTTTCAAAGTTGTTGTGTAACCTTAATATATTGAAACTATTGCTTGTGACTTAAAAACGTAAGTAGAATGTGTAGATTCTTTAGTGAGATTCATATTCTGTCCGAACTATCCTAACTTCTTTGATCAGCAGAGCGTTAAAGTACTTTTCATTTTACAGGATGATGTCTTATCATAGAAACCAATTCACAGGACTCTAATTTGAGGAACTCATCTTAAGCGTAGTTATTTAATTTAAAAGTTTATATTTGTTTCTGCATTATTTTGTCTGGTATAAAGATTTGCAATTTTGTTTAAAGTTATAATAAAATATAACAGATTTTTTTATTAAAAAAATAGTAATAAACTAATACACAACTTCAGGAAAGGAAATGGCAACAAAAATATTAGCTCAGGCTATAATATATATAAATATAAAGTTTATCATGATATGCCCATTCAGAAATAAATTTTATCTCAATTTAACTTTATGTGTTAATGATTTCTATATATCTCTTGGTATGAATTTCATCCAGAATAGTTCCTCCGGTTGCATTAAAAAACCTTTAATTGATTTTATCATATTCTTCGTCGTCTTTGGTCCCCGAACGATTTTAAATCGCAATAACATATTATATATAATCGCTTTTGTTTCCATTAGTGCAAGTCGATTTGCTAAAAAAAAGTTTACAATTATTATTGTATTAGGCTAATTACTCTTAACTGTTGTTATAAGTAAAAATCAATAGAAACCGCTGAAATTATTCACGCTCTTTTTTATTATATTTTTAATATCTTGACGTTAATCTAAAGTCAAATTATTTCGAATGAATTCTAAATAATTTAATTTAATAATTTAAGTTCTTTTAATTAATTTGTGTTTATAACAACAGTTGAGAGTAATTAACTAACTGGTCTGAAAGAATATACAATATAACTTTTGGTTCTAAAATAATAAATATGGAATTATTTAATGTTAAATTTTTTACATGTACCTATACAGCTTCTAGGACCAATACCAAAAGGTAAATATGATAAATTTTTGATATTTGATTTATTTTCATCTGAAAATCGTTCTGGTAAAAATTTGCCTGGTTCAGGGAAGTACTCAGGATCTCGATGTAATGCAGCAATGGGGATAGCAATCATTTCTTTCTTTTTAATTTCAACAATTAAATTTCCTTCTTCATCTGTTAGTTTATAATCATTTCCACAAACACGATCTAATATTATATTCGGTGGCCACTTTCGTAATGATTCTGAAATAACCATGTCCATGTATTTCATTTTCATAATGGTATCGTAATTTAATGGTTTGCCATCGAGCTCTTTCTCAATTTCTAGAACTTCTTGGTAAAGTAAATCTTGAACGTCTTGATTTTCTAACAATTCATGAGCCGTAAAAGATAAACAAGTTGAAACTGTATCTAAACCGGCTAAGAAGAAAAGTATGCACTGTGCCAATAGGTCATCATCATTGAATTCAGCATGCTCTCCAGTTCTTTCATTCTTTGTTTCTTCAAAATGTTTTTTCGCTTCTGTCAATAAGTGTATCATATCTGGACGTATGATATTATTTTCCGCGCGATATTTCATTGCACCAAATACTAAATTCTTGAAATAGTTTGATATTTTAGAACTCAGTAATTCCATACGCAAGAACTAAAATGTATTAATAATGTTAACTTAATAAATATTCGATTAATATAATTTAATTACTTACACGTGATAATTTGGGTAATACACTTATGAAAAGTGCTTTTATTATTAAAACGCCTCTGAGTTTAGTACACGATTTACAAATTTTATAAAACTCATTATCAGGATCTTCAAATGAATCTACTTTGATGCCGAATGCAGTGGATGCAATAATGTCATTTGTGAATTTAGTAAAATACTCCTTCATTTCCAAATCGAGTTCATTGTTGTCAGTGGCTTTAGTTTGTTTTTCCAAATATTTTACTCCCTGAATGCTGCAATCGTTGATTAATTCAAACATAAGACGCATTTTACTGCCTGTGAATGAAGGTGTTAATGTGTTCCGCATTTCTTTCCATTTTTGATTTTCTAGTGCAATCAAACTTTTTGAAAAAACGTTATCTTTTACTTCAGTAAAAGGAGACTTATGGTTGGTAAAATGATCGAAGTCCTTAATGCCTACTTTTTTAATGAGTTCTAAATCACTTATGAATATTATAGGCTCCCGAAAATTATAAGTTCCATAAATTTTGCTGAAAAAATATTTACATTTTAAGTATCAATGATTTTTAATATAGTATTTTACAATATTTTTACACAGTTATGCTTTTATATGTATTATATCTTTTAAAAATTAAATTAATATATTTTCACTAATTAATAACTAATTTTTATGCACTGTAAATATACCAATAAAATAATTACATTAAGAACAATTAAAAGTAATGCGTCTTACGTATTTCAATAATTAAATGTAAATACACATATATTCGTCATTTTTCGGGTAGAGATAACATCATGGCAGACGCTCTCTCAAGGATAGAACAATTACAAAGACAATTACAAATTTTTTAATTTTTTTAAAATAAATTTAACTAATTTATTAACTAAGATTATTTTATTGTTCGCCAGCAATGAATTGACGGAGAAATAAATATGTTTAAGTGTATTCCGATATTTTTTCCAGGCACGTTCGTCGATCTTGACGAAAATTTTTCGCAAAATGTCTCTTGATTCAATACAATACAAATTATTAGCCGAAAAGTTAATCGGATCTAATATGAAGAAGAACTGGTCTGATTGGGCGAAATCCTGCATTGCTTGCCAAAAAAGCAAAGTGCACCCCTACCTAGGCACTACCTAGCTGCTTTGTCTCGCATCGACCATATCAACAAGGGTATTGTCGGGTCATTGTATAAAATATTCGTCTAGAATTCTGCGACTTGCAAGCCTCTACAAACCCCATACGAAGGACCCTTCCCTGTGCTCAATCGTTTCGAGAAGTATTTTGTTGTTAAAATCAGTGAGCATAGTAGCAGCTTTAAGAAGCAAGGAGTTAAGTCTAAATGACGAAAAGTTACCTTTATATGTATATGTAGCAAATTTTCAACATTAATATTAAAAGTGATTTCACAATACTGTTGCAGGTTTAAATTGTAAATATAATAGTTTTACATATTATTTTTACCAATTTTTATATTTCTGATAGTTGCTTAATATGGAATCCAAGAATGATGACTTTTGACGTAGTATACTCCACTTAATATTGCCAATTAGAGGAAAAGGTTTTTCATGATGAACGCCTCGTTCTCTCAAGACATTATAATTGGCAGTTGACCATTTATAAATTAAATATAACGCAATCGAAATTAAAATTAAGCTCTCAATTAAAGCCATTTTTCAAACACAACATTTAATAAATGTTATACATATAACAAATTAATAAAAGTTTTATTTTTAAATGTAATTAATTTTAGTTAATGTTTGAATTTTGTATTATTAAATAAAACACTTTTTAATTCTACAACATTTGTACCCGATACACATAAAGCACAGTACATACTAAGAGCTTTCGAGAGTTTTGCGATATTTTATAGCAATAAAATGAGATACTTTAATATCAGAGATAGGTTCTCTATATGTAAACATTTCCAAAATTTTGGATTGCCTATGACGGAACGGTATATACCGGCATTTAATAAATTTCTCAGTCTGCTTAATGTAACTTTATTTGTATGTATTGTATAAAGCTATTGTGTATACAACATGTCATATCAGTTTGTATTGTTTTTTGTTTACAATCTTTATTTTTGTTTTTATTTATTTCTAAATCAATTTTTATTGATTTATCGCAATTATAATTTTAGATAAACAAAATAACGTTGATATTGTATCTGGTAAACGATATAAAAATTGTGGTTGTAAAATATGTATCATTAGTGAAATTTCAGCGATAAAAAAAGTTTTAAAAGTATACTAATTATGTAATTTACTTTTGATACATAAAATTAAAAATATAAACAAATATCTTGACATTTCAAACATACACATATACACATAGTAATATCTCGCAAACTAACTAAGAAAATAGAATGAATAAAACAGATATAATTTTCTGCAATACATACCGAACACACAAAATCGTACTAACAACAACAAATTCTATTTTTCATACAAAAATTTGTTCTTATTTGTGGGATCCAGATAGTTGCACGACGAATAATATTTGCAAGTCCGGACATTCGAAAACTTCGGATTCACAAAAAACCTACTTTATTTTCAACTCTGAAGACTGGGCAGCTATCCGATTCGATAAATCGAAAAGCTTTGGTTTCTAAAATATTCGAATAATATGAGCACCACTAACACTATGTTTTATATATATTACATACATATATATTAAGTGGAAATAATATGAAAAAAAAGTGCATGTTAAGCCGAGAACGATCTAAATTTTTAGTCTATGTGTGATAAGGGCGATGATTTTTGTATAATGATGAATGTTACAGAATAAAAAGATCTGAATAGAAATAATAAATTAAAAAAAATTTATTTTTGTTTATAGTTGAAATTTAATTAACTTTTATATGGTGAAATTAATTTTATAAATTTTTGCTGCAACTTAAGACTCTCTTGGAATAAATTTCATCCAGAAAAGCTCCTCTGGCTCCATGAAGAAACCTTTCATTGACTTCATCATATCTTTTGTCGTCTTTGGTCCTCGATCAATTTTAAATCGCAATAACATATGATATATAATCGCCTTAGTTTCCATAAGTGCAAGTCGATTTGCTGAAAAAATGAGTGTGTAATTAAATTAGTAGTATCTTCATATTATAATATTTTATACATACCTATGCAACTTCTAGGACCAATTCCAAACGGTAAATATGATAAATGTTTAATGTTTGATTTATTTTCATCTGAAAATCGTTCTGGTTGAAATTTGTCTGGTTCAGGAAAATACTCAGGATCCCGATGTAATGCAGCAATAGGAAAAGCAATCATATCTTTCTTTTTAATTTCAACAATTAAATTTCCATCTTCATCTGTTAGTTTATAATCATTTTCACAAACACGGTCTAACATAATAGCAGGTGGCCATTTCCGTAATGATTCTGATAATACCATATCCATATATTTCATTTTTACAATTGTATCGTAATTTAATGGTTTGCCATCGAGCTCTTTCTCAATTTTTAGAACTTCTTGGTAAAGTAAGTCTTGAACGTCTTGATTTTCCAATAGTTCATGAGCCGTAAAACATAAACATGTTGAAACTGTTTCAAAACCAGCCAAGAAAAAGAGTATACACTGTGCTAAGAGATCATCATCATTGAACTCAGCATGTTCTCCAGTTTGTTCATTCTTCATTTCTTCAAAATGTTTTTTCGCTTCTGTTAATAATTGTATCATATCTGGACGTATGATATTGTTTTCAGCACGATATTTCATTGCACCAAATACTAAAGTTTTGAAATAGTTAGTCATTTTAGAACTCATTAACTCCATACGTAAGAACTGTAAATAATTAATCATTTTAACACTTTATGTACATATTAGATTATTATAATAATACTTACACGTGCTATTTTAGGAAATAAACTAATAAAGAATGCTTTCATTATAAAAATACCTCTGAATTTAGTAAAAGATTGACCAATTTTATAAAACTCATTATCAGGATCTTCAAATGAATCTACTTTGATACCGAATGCAGCAGATGCAATAATGTCATTTGTGAATTTAGTAAAATACTCCTTCATTTCCAAATCAAGTTCATTGTTGTCAGTGGCTTTAGTTTGTTTTTCCAAATATTTTATTCCCTGGATGCTGCAATCGTTGATTAATTCAAACATCAGACGCATTTTACTGCCTGTGAATGAAGGTGTTAATGTGTTCCGCATTTCTTTCCATTTCTGATTCTCTAGTGCAATCAAACTTTTTGAAAAAACGTTATCCTTCGCTTCAGTGAATACGGATTTATGGTTGGTAAAATGATCGAAGTCCTTAACGCCTACTTTTTTAATGAGTTCCAAATCTCTTAAGAAAATGATGGGTTCGCGAAAATTATAAATACCATATACTTTGCTGTAAAATATTATAATTTTTGGTATCATTGTTTTCACACTATTATCTGAATTATTTTACAATAATATCTTGTTCAATGTATATTATTAATATATATTTAAATATATATATTGTTATGTATATGCATATACTAATTTGTTTGCCGATATATATGAAAGTCGCAGAAACTAAAATTAATTTCAAATTACTGTTGCATAAAAATAATTTTTATTAATTAAGAATAATATTAATTATTATTAATAGTTTATTAATAATATTTTTTACTATTATTAATTTAATAGTTTTATATATTGTTTTTACCAATTGTTATATTTCTGATAGTTGCCTAATATGGAGTCCAAGAATGATGACTTTTGACGTAGAGTACTCCACTTAACATTGCCAATTAGAGGAAAAGGTTTTTCATGAGGAACGCCTCGTTCTCTCAAGACATTATAATTGGCAGTTGACCATTTATAAATTAAATATAACACAACCGAAATTAAAATTAAGCTCTCAATCAAAGCCATTTTTTACCGACAATGTATAGTATATTAGGTTGGATATATAATAAATTAATAAAACTTTTATTTTAAATTGTAATTAATTTTAATTAATGTTTATGTTTTACATTATTAAATTAAACGCTTTCTTATCTCGACAATATTTGTGATAGATGCAGTTAAATCACTTTAAATACTAAAAGCTTTCGAGAGTTTTGCGATATTTTATAGCAAGAAAAATGAGATACTTTAGTATCAGAGATATGTTCTCTATTTATAAACACTTCAAAATGTTTTGTTTATGACGGAACAATATATGCCGGTATTAAATGAATTTGTCAGTTCGTTTAATGAAATTTTATATGTGTGTATTGTATAGAAGTATTTCATATAAAACATGTCTTATCAGTTTGAAAACTTTTTTGTTTATATCTTCGGTTTCATTTTTAGTTGTTTACAATTTAATTTGTTGATTTATAGTAATTATTATTGTAATTACATAAAATTATATTGATATTGTATTTGGTATACATTATTGCAGTTGTGGTTGTAAAATATGCACTATTAGTGAAAAATTTCTGTGTTAAATGAATACCAAAATATGTACTAATTATGTAATTTACTTTTGATACATAAAATTATAAATATAAACAAATATCTTCACATTTAAAATTATTATATACTATAATCATACTTCCTGGTATACACATAGAAATGTCCTGCAAACGAACTGATATAATAGGTGACACAAAAAATACTGTAATGTGTCGCAAGTGAAACTATAAACAGTCTTGGAGCAGATTGAAAACGGCTTTCGACATATCATCATTATTATTCTTTAGCTATACAACTGAGAGTGTATAGCTCTCAGCACTACGTTGGGCCATGCTCTACCAGTTTCTCGCTGAATAGCTTGAATATCATTTTTAAAAGAGTCTATTACTAGTTTACGTGAACGTCCTTAATTTTTTACCGGTAATACCTGTCTATTTTAATCTATTAGCTTAGATAAATTTAATAAAAGCTTTGTTCTTTGTTAACTTCAGATGTTTTGCGTTGCTTCTGATTATAATTTATTCGCTTTTATTATATTTTGGATAAAAATACTCTCCATTATTTTCGTCAGAAATAATTATTGTTCATACTTCAGATCTTGTATCAGTGCTTTGTTCTTTATTTTCTTTGGGTAAATTGCTCTATATATGCACTCAGAATCGTCATACCTCAGTAGTTAAATTATTTCTTTTATTACTGTAACCGTTTTCTATAAACCCTAATTGAAATGGTTTATCATTGCTTGTTCGATTTCATTTGTGAAATGAAACACATTTCTTGCATTTATGGTTTGGAAACTCACATAGTTACTGCTATAGTATCAGATGTGATTGAAATTATACCAGTTTATTCAATACATTGACATAATAATTAAGATGTTATACATAGTATATATTAAATGGAAATATATTGAGAAAAAAAAATATGCATATGAACCCGAGAGGTATCTAGACGATCTAGTCTCTGATAAGGTAAAGATAAGAAGTTTTGTATAATGATATAATGATCAGCATAACGATATATTATAAGAAATAATAAAACTAAAAACAAATTTATGTTCGTCTGTGACAGAAATTTATCTACATTTCCTGCTTTTATTCAGAGTAATTAATTTAATATATTTTAACTGAAAGTTAAGATTCTCTTGGAATAAATTTCATCCAAAAAAGTTCCACCGGCTGCATGAAGAAACCTTTCATTGACTTCATCATATCTTTTGTCGTCTTTGGTCCCCGAACAATTTTGAATCGCAATAACATATGATATATA